AGAGCACTCTGGGCAGAAAAACTGGCACGGACAGGGCGCTGGGAACACGTCATGTGGTCAGGAAGTAGTGGATCCTGACCTTGTCCAGCGTGAGGTGTATAGGATGGAATGATAGGTTGACTGGGGCCGTATTTTAGGAAACCTTCAATGTCGGTTGGGGAACTCCATAAGTGAATGTTGTTAAGAATGGAACAGGCTCAGAGGGATTTCAGCACAGAGCTCCTAGCCCCTGGAAGCCCAGCGACTCGGAAAGCTGGTGAAGCTGAGTGAGAAGCTGCGGCCACAGTTCATGAGAAGGATGTCAGTAGTGCCAGAAACCATAAGCAGAGGGACAAGACAGATAAGAGAAATGTGGTTAAACTAGAATCTACAAGACCTGGTGGCCGGCTAGATTTGGGAAGCCAGAAGGCAGAAGAGCAGTCAATTTTGAATCCAGGTATAGATTTGAACACATATTGGGAAATCCAGAGGAGGAATAGGCATCATGGTGAAGGTGATGTCCCATTGTTTCACCTGTTGGACATGAGGTGTCTGTGGGACACCCACACAAAGATGTCCTGAAAATATAGGATGAGAAGCAAAATGAGGCAGCATTCCAAAGCATTTCAAGATAGATGGGCAATGCTCTTGGAGCTTCCAGGTGTGACTCAAGGATGTATATACTGTGTCCTGGGTGAGGACAGAGTGAGACTGTAGTGACGAAATCACGAACAGTTATGTGGCTTTGGGTGAAGCCCTTATCCCTGTGAGCCTCATTTTCTCTATCTTAGAGTGGGGATGCAGGCCTTGACCTTTCAGAGCCCCTCATACATTATTGATCACCTGTCTTATGCATTCATTGAGTACTTGCTCTCTACCTGTCATCCATTACCTATAATCCTGCCAGGAATGTGTTCCTATGCCGGTTGTGTAGATAAGCATGACAGAAGTGTGAAGATCTGGGTCACTTGCCCAGGCCACTCAGCTGGTAGGGATATTAACAGTGATGTGGCTGGTTCCCAGGCCAGGCTGCCTCCTGGCATACTGTCACAGCTGTGGCCTACAGGGACTGGAACAATCGGCCTTAATATCAAGCAATGGTGTTGAGGTGACAGATGTCAGTTCCCCTTCTTCCTCAGACCAAACCAGACTCACTACCAGCAGGTAGGCATATGCCCAAGTTTTCATGCTCTCATTCTTCTGCTGCTGAATATATTTTCAAGACAGATCATCTGACAAGCGTAAGCATATTAATCACAACAATGGGGCAGGATATTGGGAACGAGACTGTTTCAGAAAAATCTAAGGTGGGGGACATGCCATACTGATACCCCATAATGGAGTAGGCCATGCATGAGAAGTGGTCAGAGACCTTTAGGGGAAAGAGCTAGTAGGGAAGCGAGGTGTTCGGTCCTCCTTCACATCATTTGAAAGTGGCTTTAGAAACTGGGAGAGAGGCTTCCCTTCTAACCTGCCCGTCTTCTGTCTTGCAGTGCTCAGCGGAGTGCGGGGCCGGGGTGCGGACACGCTCGGTGGTATGCATGACCAACCATGTCAGCAGCCTGCCCCTGGAGGGCTGTGGGAACAACCGGCCAGCAGAGGCCACCCCGTGTGACAACGGGCCCTGCACGGGCAAGGTGGAGTGGTTTGCTGGGAGCTGGAGTCAGGTGAGTGGCCGGAACTGGGTGTATCTGCCTGTCCCTGGTAAGAGGCAGCACAGAGAACGGGTTAGCAACCGGGACCTGATGCGTCCCGAGTTTGTATCCCAGCTGCGCTCCCCGTGACCCTGAAGAAGCTGCTTAGGCTCTTGGACCCCCATTTAGTCAACAGTATTTACTGAACACCTACTATGTGCTCTTCTAAGCACTTGAGATACAGCAATGAGCAAAACAAACATCTCCGCCCTCAGGGAGTTTATGGTCTAGCATGGCTTCCTTGTCTATAAAATGGTAGTAGTGATAGCACCTTACAAGGTTATTTTTAGAAGAAATGAAGTAATATATATTAAGTATGTAGCGCAGTGCTTGACATAAAATAAACACACAATAAGTCACAGCTTCTGCTGCTGCTATTATTGTTAATAAAGCCAGTTTTGTCTGTATCTGAGTGTCAGAAGCAGACATAGATATAATCTAGCAATCCCACTTCTGGGTATATATCCAACGGAAAAGAAATCATTATCTCAAAGAGATACTTGTACTCCCATGTTCAAAGCAGCATTATTCACAGTAGCCAAGGTATGGAAACAACCTAAATGTCCACTGACAGATGAATGGATAAGAAAATATGATATAAATTTTTTTAACCTTAAATAAAAGGGAAATCCTGCTATTTGCAACAACCTGGATGAACCTGGAAGGTATTATGCTAAGTGAAATAAGCCAGAGAAAGACGAATACTGCATGTAATCATTATATGTATTAAAATAGCCAAACTCAGACGGAGAGTAGAATGGTGATTTTCCTGGGGCTGGGACTTGGGGAAATGGAGAGGGGTTGGTAAAACTTCCAGGTATAAGATGAACAAGGTCTGAAGACCTAACTTATAGCATGATGACTACTGTTGATAACACTATAGTATAATAGAAATTTGCTAAGAGAGTAGAACTTAAGTGTTCACATCAAAAAAAAAAAAGGTAAATGTGTATTAACTCAATGGTGAGATTCCTTTCACAAGGTATACATGTATCAAATCATCAGTTTAGATATATCACAATTTATTTGTCAATTATACTTCACTAAAGCTGGGGAAAAAAGAAGCGGAAATAGAAAAAGTTGAGGCTGCTCATTATAAAGAACAGATAATACTGAATACTTTAATAAAGTGACTTAATCGATCAATTAATATTTTTCCTCGCTTTTCCAAAATTAAACATGAACCCCCTAAGAAAATGTGAGAGCGATCATCCCCTCTTATTCCTGTTATGATTATCATCAAGTATTTCAAGTTCTTGGGCCACTTAGCATTTGGCTTCCAGGGCTGGCTGGTTCTCCAAGGGCTTTTTGGCTGATGATCATGGTTTACACATTATCAGGATTTCTGGCTCCATATAGATTTTATTTCTTTTAAGTAGCTTTAAACACAGACTCTGAAAAAAATAGACTGCCTTGTCCTTATAAATCGATACAACCCCTTTGGAAAGCAATTTGGCAATAAAACTCAAAAACCATAAAAATATTCATTTGCCTTAACCCAGTCACCCCACTCCTGGGGATTCATTTTAAGGAAATAATTAACAGCAGAAAATGGCTTTTCAACAGAGATGTTCATGACAGCAGGGCGGTGAGGAATAGTGTGGTGTGTCATAACTCATTAGAATATTATGTAACAATGATAATTAGGAAGACATGCAAAGTGAATGGGATATAATGGCAAGTGAAAAACAATTTGAAAGTCTATGAACCCTATGATCTCAACCACTACAAAGTATAGTTTGTTTATATAAGCAACATGGGGAAATGTTTTCTTCTCAATTTTTCTTTAATGTTTTATAATACAAACTGTAAAATATAGAAAATAAAAGAAGAAAGAAACTGCGAATATGGCCCACGCTTCCCTGAATGTCGGAGTTACACATACTGAGTAACTGGTCCCAGCTTTGCCTCTGCTTACTCCTCCGGCTGGGGGCAGATATTCCAACCTCTCCGAGCCTGTTTCCTCATCCAGATGTGATAATAATACTGACTTCCTATGGTGATTATTAGGTTTTCATGAGATGCTATACATATGGAGGTTACCCATTGCTTGGGACATGGGAAGTACTTAATAAATATTAGTTTCCTTTTCTCCGCGTTTATTATTTTTCCTGCCAGCTGTTTCTATCTCTTCATTGGTAACAAAACACCTAGGACCTAAACTCCAAAGATAATTCAGAAGTGGACTATATATGGAATGCCAGATATTCATGGGAACTGAGGCAAGGGGATGAGTCCTATGGAAAACTGTAATATTAACTCATAATAGTCTTCACACACAGTGAGGATAAGGGAGTGCAGTTCAACTCGCATGCCTACCAATTTCAGAAGAGAAAGAGAGCAAGATTCAGGGTCCTTTTCACTTGTGGGCCTCTTACTGACTCTAGACCTAAGCTCGGAGAACAGAGTAGTGTGAATCTTGGTGAAGGCAGCTGTTATTTCTGCTAAGATTAGAAACATGGCATTTATTGCCCTGTTGTCCTAACCTGACAGAATGTGAACAGAGTTCGGGTTCTGAATTTAGAAGGATGTCGGAACCTATTGGCACCTCCCTTCTCTGGGAATTTGACATTATCCCCCCCAAAATTGAAATATTTATTTATTGAAAGTTAATGTCTTAAACATTAACTGACTTCGGAATATAAAAATAAATGTACCTTCCTGCCACACAGTTTGGATGAGAGTTGGCATCTTGAACATCCCACCGGCCTGGTTATAGTGACTAGTCCAAGATGGACATGTGACCTAAGCTGAGCTAAACACAGTTCTTCCCTGGGACTCTCATGGACTTAAGGGCAGAGACTTCCTGGGAAGTTGTGAGCACAGACGCCAGCGGTGGCCATGTTGAGGCTTGTGGAGAAAGCCAGCCTGAGAGAATGAGACCTGTAGAACTTAGGGTGCCTTTTCCACTCAGGAGGCAAAGGAGCCCAGCTCTTATTCATAAGGTATTCCACCTAGTCTATTCTTCCTGCCCAGATGTTTCCTTTCTTCCTTGTCGATTATGGGTTTACTTCGCCCTTAGTTCTGAGGGGTCTTTTATAGTCTCTGGTGATCAGAAACAGCCTTCTTTTCTGTCTGTGTGTGTCTGGATCATATTTATTCTACTGGCATCTGAGCAGTGGTCTTGGAAGAGTGATCCACCAAAGTACAGCTGCAGGAATTCTTTAGGTGTAGAAACATGCAGAATTGCTATCACCTCTCAAGGAAGCGTTTATTCCCATGACATATCACCTTTGTCCTCTATGCTTTTCTCCATGAGTTACATTTTATCTGATATTTGCATTACTTTGTCTTACTTATCATTGTTGATTTCCACCCGGCATACCTTTGTCAACTTCTTATGTATTTTTTAAGATATGTATTTTGTATGTAGGACTATTTTTGTCTTTATTTTTACCCAATCTGCAAGTCTCTATTTTTTAAGAGTTAAATTTTAAACATTCACACTTACTGTAATCATTTATATGTTTGGACTTTTTCCTGCCATCTGATTTTCTGTTTTCTATTTCATTTTATATTGCCATGCTTTCTTGGGTTTTTTCCTCTTTCCACACATTTATATTGGTCAGGCTTCCTTAATTCCATCTGGATTTAGCTCTATATTAATGTTAATTAATTTTATAGAAAATACTTATTTAGATTTTAATAGCCTCTTT